GGTCACTTATCCTTCAGAATGAATTTAAGAATTGTTTTTTCTAATCCTGCAAAGAATGTCACTGGTATTTGGTTGGGGATTGCATTGAGTTTGTGTATTGCTTTTGATCCTATGGCCATTTTGACAATATTGATTCTGCCTATCCAAGAACATGGGAGGTCTTTCCATCTTCTAAGGTCTTCTTTACTGCCTTTCTTCAGTGTTCCATGATTTTCATCGTAGAGCTCTTTTACTTCCTTGATTAGTTTAGTTCTCGAATATTTAATTTTTTGAAGTTATTGTGAATGGGCTGGTTTTCCTGATTTTTTCATCAGCTGAATCACTGTGCGAGTTCAGGAAAGCTATTGATGTATGAGTGTCGACCTGGTATCCTGCTACTTTGCTAAACTAATTTATAAACTGCAGAAGTCTCTGGTGGAGGGTTTTTTTTTGGGGGGGGGGTTGTCTTCTACATATAGGAACATATCATTGTCAAACAGTTTAACTTCTTTTCCTATTTGTATAACTTTGATTTCTTTTTCTGACTTGATTGCTCTGGCTAATATTTTCAAGACTATATGCAATAGGAGTGCTGAGAGTGAACAGCCTTGTCTGTTCCTGATTCTAGAGAAAATGCTTTTAGTTTTTCTTCATTTGGTGAGATGTTGACTTTGGGTTTGTCATAATTGGCCTTTACGATATTGAATTAAGTTCTTCGGATCCCTAGCTTCTCTAGAATTTTCAACATCAATGGGTGTTGGATTTTATCAAAGGTTAGTTTTGTCAATGGTTTGTAATCTTATTTATCTTTTCAAAGAACCAACTCTTTACTGCACTGACCCTGTGTATTATTTTCTTATTCTCAATTTCATTGATTCTGCCTCTCATCTTAATTATTTCCTGTCTTCTGCTGGTTTTGGGATTACTTTGTTCTTCTTTTTCTAAGTCCTTGAGGTGGAGCATAAGCTTATTTATTAGGATCTCTCTAATTTTTTAATGTAGACACTTAATGTGATAAATTTTCCTCTTAGAACTGCTTTTATATTGTCCCAGAAATTTGATGTTATATCTCTGTTTTCATTTGTTTCTAAGAATTTCTTGGTTTCCATTCTCATTTCTTCTTTGTCGGTTTTCATGGTTTATGTGGTTTCTATTATTTTTCTTTCTGTTGATTTCTAGCTTCATTCCATTATGATAAGATGGGATTATACCGATTTTTTAATATTTGCTAAGATTTGCTTTGTGGTCTAAAATATGATTTATTTTAGAAAAGGTTCCATGCACAGCTGAGAAGAAGGTAAATTCAGTTGTTTTGGGTGAAATATTCTGTCGATGTCCATTAGATTTATAGTGTTGTGTAGGTTTGAGATATCTCTGTTGATCTTATGTTTGGATGACCTGTCTATTGATGATAGGAACACATTGAAACCACCCAGTACTATTGTATGGGATGTATGTAGGACTTAAAGTCATGTGGTATTTTTTCCTTGTAATTGGGTACATTGACATTTGGGGAGTTAATGTTTGCTCTTATGATATATTCTTGTGGGAGTGTTCCCTTTACTAGGATGTAGTGCCCTTCTTTGTCTCTTTTGATTAATTTTTCTTGAAGTCTGCTTTGCCACAGATGAGATAGTGATCCTGCTTGTTTTCTTGGACCATTTGCATGGAGTACCTTTTGCCATACTTATACCTTTAGCTTGTGGATGTCTTTGCCTATAAGATAAGTCTCTGGTAAACAGCATTTTGTGGATCTTGTTAAGATCCATCCTGCTAATCTGTATCTTTTAATTGAGGATTAGAGACCATTAAAATTCAATGATAGTGTGGTTATGTGTTTGTCGATTCCTGCTATTTTTTTTTTTTGCTGTATTTTATCCTACTTTGATTCTCACTTAATGGATTATTCTTCTATTGGACTTCCTCTCTATTTGGGAACTTTTAAAATTGTTTTTTAGTTCCTCTATGTTCTGTTTATCTTTGAGTATTCTTTGCAGTGCTGGTTTGGTGCTCATGAATTCCTTTAGCTTATTCTTGTCACTGAAAGTTTTTATTTTCTCCTCTAATTCAATACTGAACTTGGCTAGGTATAGTAACCTTGGCTGGTAGTTGTTTGCCTTTGGAGCTTGGAATATCTCACTCCAAAACTTCATTGATTTTAGGGTCTGAGCTGAGAAATCAGAAGTAAGGCTTATTGGTTTGCCTCTAGATGTGACCTGGTATTTTTCTCTTGTTGCTTTTAATATCCTTTCCTGATTTTCTATGTCAGACATTTTGATTATGATACGCCTTGTGTGCTTCTCATTTGTATAGGTCCTGTAAGCATCCTGTATTTGGATATGTATCTTATTTCCGATATGGAAAACATTTTCTGTAAGTATCTCATTGAAAATGTTTTTTATGCCTTGAGTTTGTATCTTCATGTTCTCTTTTATCCCAATGATTCTCAGGTTTGGTCTTTTACATTTGTCCCAGAGTTCTTGTATGTTCTGGCCATGTTCTATATATTTTTTCCCTTTATTGCCTTCTGTGTACTCAAAATCATATAGCCTGTCTTCGAGGGCTGAGTTCTGTCTTCAAGGGCTGAAGTTATATTTGCTACACAATCTAATCTGCTAGTGATGCCTTCCATTGAGTTCTTAATTTGATTGACTGTGTCTTTCATTTCTAGGAGTTCTACTTGGTTTCTTTTCTCTATTTCTTTATTTAAGTGGTCTTTCATCTCCTGTAATTGCTCTCTTTATTTCTTCTTTAGATCTTCTTTTAGTTCATTGAACAAATTAATAATAATTTTTTATAATCTTTCTCTAGGTCTTTGTCCACCCTGCTTTTACTGGGATACTTTGTTGGGTGATCGTGGCTCTTGGCAGCAGATTTGTTTGCCTGTTTTTTCATGTTTTCAGAGGCCTTGTGTTCGTGCATCATTTGAAGTGGATTCCCCTCTTTTTTTTTAGCATGTTCATTTGAACATGTTACATACTTACTTGTTCTGGGGCTTCTCTCTGTAATGTTGATACATGTGCAGATGTCAAAGGGTGGGACTTGAGTTCCCCCTCTGATCATTCCTCCTTGGGTCGTTGTAGTTGGTTTGGGATTTTGTCTTTTTACTTCTTTGAGTTGGAATAATGTCGAGAAATGTTTGGTTCAGCAGTAGAGTCTCTTCCCTATAAACTTTTAGTGTCCCTGTAGATTTCTAGAACTTTACAGAATGAGGGGTGAAATAAACAATGGTAACAACTATTGCAAACAGCAGACCACACACAGTGTTAAAGTGGATTTTCACCCATTAGGAGGAATGGTGGGTTCAGCATTTGTAAACAGTGAGAACAATAATGATGAACTAGATCTGGCTTTACAGCAAACAGTGTCAAGTATATCATCCACAGCAGTAAGAATTGCATTAGCATCAATGGTGGCAGCAGGAGTTATATAGGCCAATTAGTTCTGAGAATGATAAAAATACAAGTATTTAGGGGAAATGGAAATATGTTAGGAATTTAGAAAAGATTTTACAATTTCAAAAAGTGAACAGAGAATGCAGAAGAGATGTGGCAAGTGGAGGTTATACAGAAAGAGAGGAAAAAATAGAAGAAGCGAAGTATTGAGAAAGAGGGAAGGAGAACAGTAAAATTTAGCCATTAGCAGGAGAAGATACGAGATAAGCAAGAGAAACCAAAGATATAAACAAAGGAAAATAATACAAAACCAAATCAGAATGTATAATCAAAAACCCCTGAACCCTCAAAAGACAATCCTAGTAAAAAATAACCACACTTCAAAATGCTAAAAATAAGAGAAAAAGAAACAATACAGTGTATGTATGTTCCTGAACCAATCAGCACAGCCAGAATTCACATACATACACACCCTCTCACACACGTGTGCGTGCATGCGCAAACACAGAAAGAATTAAAAAATAAAATTAAAAATTAAAAATAAATAAAAAGTTTTTTGAAATCCAAAATCTTAGTCAACAATAAAGGACACTTCTCCACTGAGGTGCTCTATATTTGACTGGAATGGGTGGTCACTGCCGATGTCCAATAGTCTGTTTTCCCCATTTTTCTTGAGTTACGTACTGATAGTTATGTACAGGAACACTGTTCTTGTGTTGCTCTCTGAGCTGCCAGTTGGAGTGCCTTAAGATTCAAGCAATTTGATATAAGATGGTGTCCCTTCTCACCCCATGAGTAGGATGGGGTAGGTGGCACCGTCAGTTGGTGTTTTGTCCTTTTGGACCAGTCCAGTGCACTCCCAGGGCGCTGCTTCTGTGCGCTCTGTGAGGGGCGGTCCAGCAGGTGGTGCTGAGGTCTGAGCAGGTCTCGGGGCCTTTGCTGGGGGGACTGCTTTGGAGAGACTGGATCGACCTGCCCCAGGGGTAGATATAGCTGATCTCTCCTGCACGTCAAGTATATCATCCGCCTGTCAAGTGTACTCCTGGTTCTCAGGAGCCTCCTGAGAAATACACATATGGGGCAGGGGTGCCAATCCTCCACCACAGCTGCCCAGCAGCACAGCCTTCCCAGGCGTAGTCCCTGAGGGTCTTCACCCCTTCCAGCTCAGACTCCCGGCCCCCTGCAGCTGGTCAGGTGAGCTGCCGGATGCAATAGAAGCAGGTGGGCTCCCCTCACCCCTCCCAACCCTGGTCCCACTGGGTGGTCTCCTCCACACCTGATCCACTCCTGGTCCATCAAGCCCAGCCTAGATCCCTCACTAAGCACCTGCCTGGAAATCGTGGCTGTATGTTTTGGGTCCTGCAGTCATGGTGGGGGTGCACTTGCCCCCATATGGCTCCACCCCAGCTCTCGGTGGCCAGTTGAGCTACAGAGCGCACTTTTCAAGCACCAGTGCACAGTGCAGCATTGATCAGCTGTTTAGGCAGCATTTCATCTCAGGTTTCTCTGTACCAAGGCTGTGATCCCTTGGGCTGGGGCTCAGCAGTAGAGCACTCGCCTAGCATGTGCGAGGTGCCGGGTTCGAGCCTCAGCACCAAATACAAATAAATAAATAAGTAAAATAAAGGTATTGTGTCCAACTAAACCTAAAAATATTTAAAAAAATAAAAATAAAAAAGATTGTGAGCCCCCTCCCTCTGCCTGTGGTGAGCCCGCACTGCGCCCCTGCCACTTGGGCTCCATTGTATTCTTTTTTGTTCATTGTACCCGAATTTCCAAGTCCCTCAGCCACTCTGCAGGTCTGATATTAAAATTTAGTGAAGTCCCCTTTTCACCCACCTTGCTGAGAAGCCACACCCTGCCGTTTGGCTCCACCCGTGGTGCAGCCGGGATGCTGCTTCCTGCCCCACCGTGTCGCCCTCTTCACCACGCGGCTCCCTGGTTGCACACAGAGGCTGGGGTTGAGTCTGGGGTGTGACTTCTCCAGGCCCCAGAGCCAGCCCCGTAGTCCCCGGGACTTGGTTTCCTGAGGCAGCCAAAGGTGGCAGGAAAGTCTGAGGCCAGGTTCCATGGGTAGCCACGTGGATTCCTGAGCCCATTCCCCACCTGGGGAGGGTTTCCCGGGACTGACTGGGCTCCCAGCGCAGTGCTAGGTCTGCATTCCGGGAGCCCACAGCGTGGAGATGCGGAGGCGAGCAGTGTGAGGCGTGCTCAGTGGAGACTGCAGCCCGGCCGCCTGTCCCCTGGACACTTGGGGAGTTGTTTAGGGAGACCAGGCTGCCAGGGAGGGACCAGGGCATGGTGAGCACCTGACGATGTTGGCTCTGGGATATGGCATGTCACCGGCCACCCTGGCTCCGCTGTGCAACCTGGGGGCAGTGCCACCCTCTGTTCCTACGTCCTTCTTGTTTCCCACTGAGACTCCAGGAACAACACATGGCAGTGTCTGGCCACCCAGAAGGGGTGGGAGTTGAGGGAGGAGGCCTGGGTCCAGCCGAGCCCACTCCCGGGTGGCATCGGGCCCCTCGCAGGCAGGAAGGCGGCCTCCGGGGTGGGGTGGCAAGTGGGGGCTGTTGGAGGGTCTGCCGAGCCCTGTGGGTGGCTGGAGGCGGACCAGGGCCTGCCCATGTCACTGAGAGGGAGACAAAGGACGAAGACCTTCCCCAGGGCCATACAGCCAGGACAGAGGTAGCCAAAGGTGGCAGGTTCCAACTGCTCCCTGGGTAGCCACATGGTAGCCATGTGGATTCCTGAGCCCATTTCCCACTTGGGGAGGGTTTCCAGGGCTAAATCCTAAACACACCGTGTTGAAGCCGTGACCACATCTTCTACGGAGGCAGACATAACTGAGGGACAAGGAGGCTGCAGGAGGCAGCAGAAGAAGGTAGCAGGCCTCAGTGTGACTGCCCTGGGTCCAAATCCCAATGCTCTAATTCTCTTGCTGTGCAACTTTGGACAAGTTTCCAAGCCTCTCTGAACTTAGTTTCCCCATCCATAATGGGAAAGATGACTTTCCTCAAGGGGTTATTGTGAGGAATGGGATGTTGGTGGTACTTGGCATTCAAATGGCAGCCACTGTAATGTCCCAAGCTGTCTTCTCACTGGGGAGGGTGGCCACGCTGCAGTCACCTCCTCTGCTAATCCCCCTGACACCCCAGACTTGGCTTTGAGGGGCATTACCCACCCACACCCGGGCGTGGCAGCCACTGTGACCTGGGAGGGTCCCTGGGAAGTCCTGCCCTCTGCTCTGGGGCTCCTGCAGGTTCTCCCCACCCCAGAGGAGGGCAGGGACTCTCCTGAGCCAAGGGAGCGCCCGCCACCCTGGCAGTGGACGGGGTGAGCAGACGGGATTTCTTGGCCTCCAAACCGAGGGCCGGGAGGAGATACAGGAACAACTCGGACCCTGAGGTGAGGGAGGGTGGTATTTCCAGCACCACTGTCCCTCAGTGCCCTGGGGTGGGTTCCAGGTGCCCAGATCCCCAGACGCTCAGATCCTCTCTGTAAAACGGGGTTCTTTGTGCAGAACCTGAGCACCTCCCCCCTGTGCTTTAAGTCATCTCCAAGTGACTCACAGTCCCTAACGCACCTGGTCACCATGTAAATAGTTGTCAACTGTGTTGTTTAGGGAACAGTGACAAGAAAAAGAGTCTGTATGTATGCAGCACAGATGCGACTTAAAACGTAGGTTTGATATCGGTCAGTGGAATCTGCAGACATGGAGCCCGGGGACCAGAACCGGCGGGTTTGGATGCTGGGCTTGGGTGAGAACCTGTGAGGCTCCAGGTGGCCGCTCCGAGCTGTCTGTCTGTCTGTCTGTCTTCTTCTTCTTCTTCGGGTCTTATTGGGCAGAGCTTCCTGTCCTCTCTCACCAGGATCATCGAGGCCCCTCCGTCCCTCCCTTTCTGAAGCTGCTCTCCTCAGGCCGGTCCTGCCTGCCCCACTCCATGCAGCCTCCCTGGTGGCCCCCCCATGCCTCCGACTCCCCCAGCCTCTCCAGTCCCCATGTCCACCCTACGCTGTGTACAACCCACAAGGGCCTCCCTGCCGTTCCTGGGAACTCGTCCCCACTCTCCTCTCAGACTGCCCCTTCCTCCTGGGTCCACCTTGCCCACTGGGACAAGAGCACCACGCTGGGCCCTGCCGCCTTCCCTCCCGCTCCCTGGGGCCTGGGCTTACTCTTCCCCAGCACCAGCCCTTGGCCCAGGCTCCTCACTTGCAGTCCCTGGGCCCGTGTCTCCTGGCTTCAGCTGCCTTCTGCCGCAGCAGGCTGGCACATCCGGCCCTCACCTCCCTGTCCTCCTGGACGGGCCCTCCACAGGCCCCTCCTGTGCAGCCTCCCTCCTCTCCCTGCCCACACAAATCTGTCAGGCTCCTTCCCGTTCCGTGGCCATCTGCTCGGAACCCCGTCTCCTGTCGCTGCTGGGGAAACGCGCTCCTCCTTCAACACTCCCCTTGACGCCCCTGTTTCAAACGCTCCTGGTGCCCGGCCGTGGACGCGGGAGGCCCCGCCTTCCACTCCGTGCCCAGCTCCACATGGGTCCTGCCTTCTCTGGTCTGAAGAGGATGAGGGCGGGGATTTTGTCTGGGTGCCCTGAGCCTCTCACAGTGTGTGGCATGCAGTAGGCGCTCAGTCATGTCTGTTGGATGCCTGAATCTGGTTGGGAGGGTCACTGCAGTGGATGCTGAGCAGTGTCTGAAAGGGGCACATTTAGGGCAAATTGAAGGCAGCCTCATCCACAGGGAGAATGAGCCACCCTGAGAAGCACCTTCAGTGTCTCGGACAAGCTCATAAATGACAGATGTGTCATGGGATGGGAGAGGACACCTGCACCGGGGGCTAGAACAAAGGTAAAACCACATCCTCCTGCTGGTGCCCACAGTCCTTGGGGCCCCCTTACTGGGTGGCTCTACCATGTGCTCATGTTTTGATGTTAGTTACGTATTTGATGTCCCTGGCAATGTTCAGGGCACTTGACTTTGGCCCAGTGAGCCCCTCTTGAAGAGGTGGGGTGCTCTGAACAGCTCACAGGGCCCAGCTCCCCATCCGTGGGAGCAGCTGGACGGCTGCGGAGACCTCGCAGCGGGGTGCAGCGGGGAGCACAGCAGGGGCTTCAGCCCTGGTTTGGGTCACGGTGGAGCCTCCCCCCCACAGTGCCACCGCAGGGTCACAGCTCCAGGCACAGGAGCACTCTCAATGGGCGCGTCCTATGGGTGCCAGAGCACATCTGGCTGGACAGGAAATCAGTGCAGCGCTGTTCCGCCAGGACAGAGGGCTGGGCCACAAGTCCGTGAGCGGAGGGCAAGGGCAAGAGGGGGCCCGGAGGAAGAGGAAAGCACCCCACGAGCTGCTCTGGGCCACCTCAGAGACTTGGGGATGCAGAGGTGTGGCAGAACCTGGAAAAGTGGGAGCTTCCTTATCCCAGCTCTGGGAACTTGGGGTGGGAATGTCTGAACTTTCCAGAGCCTAAGGATTTCACTAACAGGCTGCCCAACTTGTGTATTCACTTGTGCATACATCTAGTGCCTAAATTAGGTGCCAGGAGTGTGCCTCATACCGGATACACAAAGGTAAGTCGAAAACCCCAAACCCGGTCTCTGTCCAAAGACGTTCCTCCAAAACATGAGTCTGCCGAGGCATCTGGGTGTTTCCCATCAAGTAGTTTTGCAGTGTCTTGGAGAAGGGGACAGTAGTGGGTCCTGCTGTGAGTGTTAGACTGCAGAGCAGGTGGGAAGTGAGTGGGGAAGGGGGCGGGTGGGCTGTGTTCGGGGACTGCTCTCCTGAGCCCTGGGTGTTAGGGAAGTCTGGCCCCGGCCAGGGCGCAGGCCACCCCACGGAGGAGACTGACATTCAGAAAGATCATGTGGCGCTGCCAGTTGGAATCATTGCCTGAAGCTGCCAGGCACCTTCCCCTGCCCCTTCTCCGGGCCCCTGGAAGAAATGCCATTTCAAGCCTGCTCTGTCATACGCGTGCCCTGAGCTGCCACCGTTGTTCAGCTGATGTCAGGACTCAGGAGAGAAGGGCTAAAAATAGCTCCGATGGCTGTGCTGCTCCCAGGGGCTGCGCGGCAGCCGGTCCCCTCCACCTTCCCTCCTGCTGAAGCTGTGCACATTGGGGTCATGTAAAGAGCTCTCCAGTGCCAGCCACGCTATCGAAGATTCCAGAATCCATTCTCATACTGGCAGAGAGCTTGGAACCCTTAGTCGGGGCTGCATGGGTGCACTGTTCCTGGCTGTGTGGGCTTGGTGGGTCCCTTGAGCCACCCAGACTTTGCGTTTGGGGTGGTTTTGAGGGAGCTGGAAGGAGGGGCCCGTGCGTGGGTGCTGGCTCCGCCGTTCAGTGTGTTAGACTGCAGAGCCGAGAGGGCCCTTGGAAGGCCTCCAGCTCTGGCCCTGCCCTCTGTGAGCTGGAGGATGTAGCAGCCCCAGGATTTGGGCTTCTAGTTTTTCCAACTGTCTGGGATAGGCAGAAAATCTGTCTCCCCCTAGTGGGCTCTGAAGCGCCCTCTCCCGTTCCACACCAGTCCTTCCTGCTTTGGCTCAGCTCCTGCCTCAGCCGGCTGCCTACCTCTGGGGACCTGTGTGGCCTGCGTTTGAAGCTGGGGTTGCAGACAGCTCGTGGCCAAAGGAAACCAGCTTCCCACCAGAGCTGGGCCAGGTCACGGTAGCACACCTCAGCTGCACATCTACCAGTGGGACAGCCACCTGGGGCATGTGACCCCCATCCTGGGAGCCAAGTCTAGTGGGGAGGCATCTGATTTTTAAGTGGCTTTGGCACTGGGTAGAGAGGGCAAAGAGAGCCCTGATCTCAGAGGGGAGAGGCCTCCAGGTGGGAAACAGGCACATGGTCCCGGCAGAGGCTCACACCTGCTTTCTAGCGTGAACACACCACTTAGATCAGGGTGTCATCTCGGGGTCAGTTGGCCTGGGCGTGCATCCTGGTGGCTACTGCCCTGGGCAGTGACTTGCTTCAGTTTCTGCGTTGAAGCCATTCTGAGGTGTGGGGAGGGTTACGTGAGGGAGTGTGGGTAGAGCGCGTCACCTGCTGGGCCTGAGGAAGGAGCCAGTCAACGGGGACTACTATTATACCCAGTCTGAGCATCACACGGGTGACAGCCCTGGGTAGTGGGTAAGGCCTGTGGAGGGGGCTCCACCTGCTCAGGAAGGGGCTCCAGGCAGAGACCAAGACACAGTGAAGGTGCACCCCGCAAGCTTTGGGTGGAGAGCTGCCAGCATGGCCAGGGGACAGCGGGTGTGGGAGAGAGGTGAGGTCGCAGAGGCCCCGGGGGCCACTCAGTAACTAGAATGAGGCTCGCCTCAGTCTCCACATCTGTAAGATGGGAGTGGGAAGAGCACAGACAGGGAGGTCCCTACCCGAGCCCTGGAGCCGGGGGCCTGGAACCTCCTGGACCTATTGCCTCCCGCACATGGCCGCCTGCCCTTCCCACTCTGGGTGGTCCCACTGGGCAGAACACGGGCAGGCAGCTCCGCCACCCTGGTGGGAGGCAGCTGAGGGTGCATTCCTACAGCACCTCTGCTGCTACGGCAAGCCAGGGTCCCCAACCCAGCCTGGCACAGGAGAGCAGAGGTGGGACCCCGTGGGGAGGGCAGGGCCGGGGCAGGACTTAGCAGGTGGAGTTCTGGGTGAGCCCTCGGGGGGGCTTTTGTGGCTGCTAAGAGCTCTGTCCTCAGTAGCAAGGACAGTCCGTCATCACATCTGGGTCCCCTGGACCCTCACTTCCCATTAGGTGGCCCCGCTCTTCTCTCTGAGGGGTCCACAGCCACCAAGGGTTCTGGTGGCTGGACAGGGGCTTGGCTTTCCTCTTGGTGTCTGCCTGCCCTCCCTGTGGACATAATGGTGACAACAAATGGCCAGAAGCAGGGAATCCTGGGGGGACAGGGGAGGACAGACAAACCTCCCTCCCCTCAGCCCTCCAGGTTGGCTGTGGATGCAGGGCCATGGCTGTGACCGCGTTTGCAGGTGTCTGTGCAGATGGAGATCCAAGACACGTATTTGTAGCGTGAGTGTGTGTGTGTGTGTGTGTGTGTGTGTGGCACAGCAGTGCAGGGTGTGAGCACATGGGTGGGTGTAGACAGTCCTTGTGTGCAGAGTGTGCAGTGCGCACAGGGTGTCTGGGTGTGGAGTGCGGGTGGCTGCCAATGTCTGGGTGCCGGAGTGTGGGTGTGACAGAGGATGAGGGTTGACATGTCTGGGTGGACCTGGAGGCGTGGCTACTCGAATTCAAATGTGACAAAAGTAGAAGGCATTTTTGAAATAGCAAGGAGGCTACAGGCGGACAGCTGCTCTCGGCTTCAGAGAAAACCCTGTCCTGCCTGGGGTCAGCTTTCCCTGTCCTTCTGGGAAGAGCCATGAAGAGGTCGGAGCTCAGCCCCTGGGCCTGGCTGTGGACGGCGGAGCAGCCTGGGGTGGGCCGTCGGGGCCTGCGGGGTGCTGTGGCTTGGGCCTCGGTGGCCTCCTTGGTAAACCCTGGGCTTGCGGGGGATGCCAAGAAGGCTCTGCTGGCTGGGGTGGTCTCAGGCTGTCGGCCAAGATGGAGAGCCTCCCCCCCCCCCCCGCTTGCAGGAAGTCCCCGCAGCTCATGGAGAAATGCAGCTGTGTAGCCCTGCAGGCTGACCTCTGAGGACAGAAGGCTGGGGCTGAGGCCAGCCGGCCCTGCCACCAAGGTCAGCAGGGCATCTGCTGCTATGTGTTGGACACTGTGGAGGCTGGGCACAGCCAGGCTAGGACCTGGCCCTGGGAGAGTGAGATCCTAACCAGGCTCACACAGATCCCTGTCAATGACTGAGCTCATGGGTCCCAAAAGCCAGTAGGGTGACCTCTGCTGGTTTCCGACCCTCAGTGGCCCCATGTGCTGTGTGCTCCTACCTGGTGACTGCTGGCCTCGGTTGTGACTGCATGGCCCTGGGTGTACGCCATCTCCTCTTCCTGCCCCTGCACCAACCCACCAGGCCGGTTCTGCAGATGGGGACTTCTGGAGCATCCAGAGGCAGGGCGGGGGCTGTGGTGGGGGGTGGTGTGGGGATGGAGGGTCGCGTAAAGGCAGGTCAGAAAGACCTGGGCACAGGTGGAATTCAGGGCCTGCCATGGTCTCTGCTCAGTTATCCCCACAGATTTCTAATGGCTCCTTGGGGCTGCATGACCCCCTGGCTGGCCCTGGGCTCTGGAGACTGGCAGGCACACCCTGGATGTCGGAAGGTGGGCCTGGGTCGGTCAGTAGCTTCCATCCGAGTCCAACCTGGCCTTCCAGTTCCTGCCACCTGAAGCCCCTCTCCCCTGAGGTTCCTCCCTCCCTGCCCCTTCCCTTCCTTCCTCCTGGGGTGAGCCAGTACCCCAGAGTCATTCCCCCCTGAGCCCAGGGAGTCATGTCCTCAGGGTGCAGTCCCAGGGCCAGGCCCCAGGAGACTTGGGTCAGGAAGGGGAGAAGCAGGAAGGGCGGGGGATGGGAAGCCACCTTCTTGTGGGCTCTTTGCCCTGCCTTCTTGCCTGCCTGGCTGGGTGCTGTGCCCTGGGTGCAGGATGCTGAATCCTTGGCACCAGCTGGTTCTGGAAGGAGGTTCCTTTTGGGCCATTCCATCTGGGGTCTGAGGGCTTGTACCTGCAAGAGGTTTGCAGAGGGAGCTGGGGTTGTGGCTCAGCGGTAGAGCATTCGCATGTGAGGCCCTGGCTTCAATCCCCAGCACCACACGGAAATAAATAAATAGATAGATAAAGAAAGAAAATGTATTAAAAAGAAAAAGAAGTCTGCAGAAACAGGTCCTGAGGTAAGGTGGGAGAAACAGGTCCTGAAGGTATTCAAAGACAGGTGGACTCGTGGCCCTACTGAAACTTGAGCTTTGGGGCCCTGTACTTAATTCTGCACTTGTCCTTCCATATTCCTTTTCTTTTCAAATTGAGGCAGGGTCTCACCATGTTGTCCAGGCTGGCCTCAAACTACTGGGCTTGAGCCATCCTCCTGCCGCAGCCTCTCCAGCATCTTATGTGCACCCCTGTGTTCTCATACTCTTTAAAATATTTTTAAATTAGGTTTTTTGGTAAAATTTTTAAAAAGAACATTTATGTAAAGTAACCTTGACTTTTCTGTGTGTCTGGAAAGGTCTTGGAGTTTCAATGCACATATAGAATCACACAACCACCATCATAGTTGTCTCACTGATGGTTTCCTTGCCATAGAACACCCCTTTTTAAGTAAAGCACCCCCCAGCTCCAACCCATGCAGCTACTAATTCTCTCTCTCCACGTCTCCAGATGTCAGGCAGGTGAAGTTGCTCAGTACAGAACTGTTCATACAGCCTTCTCCTTCTGCGTGACGCCTTGTGACGCATGCAGGTTGTCGTGTGCATTGCTGCTGTGTGCATTGTTATTCCTGAGTTGCAGCCCACAGTATAGATGTGCCTCAGTTGGTTTATCGATTCCCTGTTGAGGAATAGTTGGCAATTATGAATGGAATTGCTAAAACATTTGTGTACACATTTTTGTGTAGACATAAGTTATTGTTTCTAGATAACATATGTTTCTAGATAATTTCTATTCAACCCAGAAATTGGGTTGCTGCATCATATAAGAGTATCTTTATAAGAGGCTATAAGAACTATTTATTTTACAGAGAGGCTGTACCATTTGCATTCCTACCTATAATATATGATCATTCCTGTATTCTCTCCAGTGCTGGACATTGTCAGTTTAAAGATATTTTA